AGTTATTGAAAAAATATCTTCTATTTATTAAAAATTTGCGACGCTGCATTACATATATATACTTTTATAAATATTATTTATATTTTACTCTTTACTTTTAAAACGTTTAAAAATATAGGCTCATCTACTTTTAGACGTTACAAAATTTTAAGCGATTAAAAGTTTAAAAAGTTAAAAATATATTCGATAGCCCTAGAAAAACAACTGCTCTGACGAAATTTAATTTTGTTAGAGCAGTTGTTTTTCTATTAAAATTTCTTTTAAAATTTTCTAAAAAAATATGAAAAAAAAATTATAATTTTAAATTATAATTTTTTTTCAAATTTTTGTTGAAATAGTCAATAAATCATATAAAACAAAACTTTGATGTCAAATATTTAACATTTCGTCGCGTTGGTTTGACAAGGTTCTAACTGACATTTTTGCCAAAATCGACTTTATCATTTTATTAGACTATTTTAATCATGATGAACAAAATAAACTGAAATTTACAGCGATATAGCGTAAAACAAGCAAACTGCTAATGTGCCAAAGTTCTATCTGCAACTTTAGTTAAATGATATTTAGTTTGACAAGGTTCTAACTAACAATAACTGCATAATCTCTTGCTGGTTTTTATTAACTAATTATTATGATAAAAAATCATATAAAAAAATTCTGACACCGATGTAGAATAAAATATCATTAAAGCTATTATTTGACATTTAAAAAAAAATCTTTATTATAACATTCTGTAGCTTCACTCAAATTGACACCTGGAACATTGAAAAACAAAATTCTGGTTTCGATTAGCATAGAAATAACTATTATTATTCAAAATAAAAAGGGGATTTATGAGCTAAAATATTTTTTTAAAATAATGATGTTTATGCATTAATAAATTTCCAAACTTTTCACAGTCAATGCAAGTACAATTTGCCGCGCCATTCCCTTACGGTAAGTCGATCTAACTATATTTTGCAGTGTCTACCCCAAAAAGTAAGTCAATATTTGTTCATTTTTCTTCACTTATCTACAACGGTTAGTCGATATATGTGCACTTTAGAACGTTGATTTTACAAAGTAACTTATTTTAAATTGTTAAATCAAATATAACAGTAATATTAAAAATTAAACAACTTGTAATAAAACATTTTTGTATCAATAATAAAAACCAGGCTGCGTAGTTAAAAAAAGATTTTAAAAATGATTTGAAAGTAAAAAAAAAACAATTTGAAAAGTTATTATTTTCGATTTAAGTAAAATATCAACAGAAAATGGAAAGAGTAGTATTTGATAAAGAAAGCAATTATAATAGTGACGAATTTGTAGCTCCAACTAGTGAAAGCGGCGAAGACTGCTATGAATTAAGTACACGGTTAGTAACCTAATATAACTTTTTTGTGTGACTTTGGCCATGCATTTACATATTAAAATAGCTAAATTTATAAGCTTTTGAAAAGTTTTTTAAAAAGATTTTTACTTTTTAATATTTAAACAGGAAGAAGAGGCGCTTTAATTTAATCAGAACTGCACTAGAATGTTCCAGAACTGCACTAGAATGTTCCAGAACTGCACTAGAATGTTCCAGAACTGCACTAGAATGTTCCAGAACTGCACTAGAATGTTCCAGAACTGCACAAGATTCTAAACAAAATATTTTTGAAGAAGCTTCTGGAAACAATGCCAATAATGTTTGTGTAGCACAAACTGAAAAAAGTTCTGAGATAGACATGAATATACAACCTACGAATGATGCTGAATTAGTGACAAACAAGTAAGCCAAATATGTAGTGTTCCCCCTCGATCACCCTCTAAATCTTAAATATATATTTTTTTTATTTATGATTTGTTTTTTTAATAAAAATTTCATCTAAAAAGTGATTTCGACATTAAAATTTACTATTATATACAAAGTGAACCATTTTAATCATTTAAGAACGATTTAATTAGTATATGATTATATACTAGAGATACTATTATCGACTAAGTAATAATACTATTCTAGGGATCAAGTTCAACAAACGTTTAAGAAAAAATTCCGAAAACGAATATCTAAACCTGAAGCCTGGGAATATAATAAAAAAAAAAAGGCATATCAAGCTGGTAAAAATTATACAAGTCGAAGAGGAAAGCAAGTACCAAATAAGATTATTCAAACAAAAAAAAACTGTCTGGCAAACTGTAAGTACGAATGTGCTAAGTAAATATCAGAAGATGAGCTAATCGATATTTTTTCATCATTTTATGCCTTAAATTCAGCTACTGAAAAGAGACATTTCTTTGTTACTTCGACTGATCGCACAACCGCTGCTAGACCAAAAAGAAACCACGAGGAAAACAATGAAAGTGATACTGCAAACAAAGAAACTAATGACCACGCTGAAAAACAAGTTTTTTCAAAATATAGATATTTTTTTCATGTAAAAGGTGAAAAAGTCCGTGTTTGCAAAACATTCTACTTAACTACACTGTCCATTTCACAAAAGCCAGTTTACACAGCTCACAACACCCAAAATATTAAAACAAATACTCCTGCACAAGATCTACGAGGTAAAATCATGAAAGGCAAACGTACACCGCATAGTGATGCCAACTCAGCTAGGGATCACATAAAATCTTTTCCAACAGTTGAGTCACATTATTTTTGTGTGTGTACCAATAGAGAATACCTTGAGTCACACCTTAATGTTTCAAAAATGTATAATCTTTACAAAGAGAAATGTATAAACAAAAATATTGAGCCAGTAAAAAAATCTATGTACTACCATATTTTCTCCACCGAATTCAATCTTAGTTTTCACATTCCCAAAAAGGATAAATGTGACCTTTGTGAGAAGTTTAAAGTTGCTGAAAACACTGATACTATGTCTGAAAAATTGAGAGAAGACTTTGAAAGACATCAAGTTTTTAAAAAAGGAATGAGAGATATACGTTCTGAAGAGAAAAAGGATAAAAATTGTCCTGTTTTACTTTTTGACCTTCAAAATGTTATTTTGACTCCGCATGCAGAAATTAGTTCCCTTTTTTATCTGAGAAAGATTAGCGTGTATAATTTGACAGCTTATTTTTCAACAAGCAAAAAAATGTATTGTGCATTATGGACTGAATCAATGGCGGGAAGAAGCGGCAATGATCTTGCAAGTGCCTTTTGCAAAATTTTGAGTGATGTGGCAGAGGAAAACGACTTCAGTGATTTAATTACTTGGTCTGACTCCTGCGTTTCTCAAAATCGGAACAGTATATTATCAAATGCTGTGTTACACTTTTTAAGAGACAATCCTAACATCAACTCAATCACTATGAAATATTCCGTTCCAGGTCATTCATGCGTCCAAGAGGTGGATCATGCTCATAGCGAAATCGAAAAGCTCATGAGGAAAACTGATTTTTATAGTCCAATTGGATTGATAAGGATGTTGAAACAAGCTAACAGAAAAAATCCTTATTGTATCATTCAAATGAAATCACATGACTTCAAGGATTATGCAGTAACAGCGAAGCTGTTTAATTACAAGTCAGTTCCTTTTTCTAACGTTGCTGTTCTAAAATTTACTCAAACATCTCATATTATACATTTCAAATCTAGCCATGATCGCAATGAACCTATGAACTGTGCAAATGTCAAGTTCAATGAAAAACCTAACAGAAAGAATGCAGCAACAAGTCCATCAACTTCCACTATTTTGAATCTAAAACCAAAGATTCAAAATTGTACAAAGGAACTTGCAGACTTAAAAAAAAAGATATTAAAGCTGCATTTCCGTTTATGCCTCTCGAGGACAGAGAATACTATCGAGTTGTTCTTCACCTATAAAATAAACATGAAAAACTTTTAAGGGTTTTAATCCTGTACTTAATGTAATGGTTTTAAAATGCACCAAAAAAATGTAGTATAAAAAAAATAAAAAATGAGTAAAAAAAATGTTGTAACCTTGTTTTGTGACTGAAACAATAATCTAATTTATGAAAATTAGCTTTTTATTATATTATTGTTTCAGTTACAAAATTTAAAGTAACTAACAGCTTCAGTCAAAAAGTTTCAAAGTAACTAACATGTTTCTAACTACCGTTATAACAGCAGTTAGAACCTTGTCATAGTGAGAATATGATTATTTCACTATGACAAGGTTCTAACTGCGTTTTGGGGGTATTCATTTTTCTATAAAGAGTGAAACATTTTTTAATAAAAAATAGTAATACTTATAGCAAATGCTTATGTTACCATGAGTAAAAAATATTATCGATGAATTTTAATAAATTTTGATGGGAGGAACATAACAATTTTTAACATTGATTTGCTCAAAACTACTCGCGGATCAGTTAGAACTTTGTCAAACCAACGCGACGTTTGTTCTCAGTTAATATTTTAACTGCTCGTTAACTTAAAGACAAACGTACCATTATTTTTTATTACATCCGCCGGCGGTAAGCGCCTCCAGTTTGGCGGCCGCAGCTAGCTGGGAGGCAGAAGCTATTGGAGGCGGCCTCCAATAGCTTCTGCCTCTTGTATGTTTTCGGCCTCCAATAGCAAAATTTCTTCTGGAGGGGGCCAACATTGGCTTCCACATCTCTATTGACGTCGGCCTCCAAAACATTTTGCCACCAAAAAAAAACTTTGATTGCGGCCACCAAGAGAAAGATGGAAGCCACTGGAGGCGGGATAAAAAAAAAATTTGTCGTTAAAAATTAATTGGGAGGCAGCCGCCGTCTGCAATGGGAGAAAAGTGGAGACGAGAATATTTACGCCGTTTGTCATCACTGCTTAAATTTGCAAGTCTAGAGCTAATTTCACATTAATAGGCTTTTTTTCAATCCAAGAGAGGGTATAAAACATAAAATACTGCTTTGTATTTTATATTTTTATACTGCCTAACATATATATTTTTTAGTTTTTAAAATTAAATACTGCAACTCAATTACGGTTTAATATCCCATTTAAAATTCATGCGCTACAAAAAATTTCATAGAAAAAATTCACTCGGGACGAGAATCAATCAAAAAGTACCAATCAAAATATCAATCAAAGTATAGATTTGATTTACCTCAACAACAATATAACGACGACTACGATGAATATTAGCAATGTAAAATTGAGTATAGATTAAATATAGATTATATATAGATATGTGTTTGTTTATTTTGATCTCGCAACGAAAAAACATTTAGTCTTTAGGTATGCTTACATAATATCTAGTATAATTTCGAAATTTTACGCCTATTTTATGTACATTTATAAAAAAAATTTTATGGTTTTAGTTTTTAAAACTATTTATTATTTGTGATAATGATAATACATTTTGATTTTTTTGTGCGCTTCTATGCCTTAAAACATGTCACTTTCTGTGTTTTTTAAATTTTTTGATGATCTTTTTTTTATGAAAGCCAGACTTTTTATATAATGTTTATTTTGGATTATATATTTAAAAGTATTACGTCCGCTTCAAGTTAGTATATAAGTATATATGAGTATCAATATCGAGAATCAATTAGTATCAATATCGAGTTAATATATAAGAATAACGATTTATTACTCTTTAAGCATTGGATTATCGATGAACATTAGTGTGACTCTAAATAATGGTTCTAACTAACTAATAAATTGTCTTTTTATGACATTAAATATCAACTATCTGTAGTAAATTTTACGATGTAAAGAAAATAAAAGTATGTTTTATAGTAAATTATATAAAAAAAAATTAATCTTTCCCTGAAAAATATTGCTTTCACTTGTTGTTTTTTTTATAGCTTTTTATCAACGTTGGGAATTAATAAATCTTTTGTATCGCAAAAAAATGTTACACCTTCACATATATATACATATATTTATATACTGTCAGATGGGGTAATATGGCTACTGAGGGTAATATGGCCAGTTAAGCATATTTATCAGTTTTTCGCTAAAATCTGCTAAAGTTTTTTAAAAAGCAGTGTCCCACTCTACACACTTTTTATAGCACAATGTTAATCTGACATTTTAATGTCTGTTACAAAAAAATTAAAATAATAATACTCTTGTTGTTGAATGTTTTTCGCATCTCATTTTTTTATGTCTTTTCAGATTTTAAAAATGCTAACTATTGCCAAGCAAATACTCGAAGGGCAATTTGGCCAAAATTTTAACTAGACATTTATGAGCTACTTAGATAAGTACATTTTTAAGCCCAAAGCATTTTCCTTAAGGTAAATAGGGTAAATGGGTTATTTTGAAAATTGGGGTAATATGGCCACTTATTGATTTGCTTGATAAATTTGTCAATTTTTTTTTTTAATCAGTTGCAATATGCAATGCAAATACAAACCAAAGAAAGGTTATGCACACAGTAACTACTCCATAGAGCAAGTGGACAAGGCTATAAAGGCGATTACTGCTGGTATTTCAGTTAAAAGATTGAGACAAACAAAGTTTTAAGGTCAACTCTTAGAAAATATCTATGTGGTAAGATCAAATATAGGCAGACACCTTGTTGAATTGCTATTTCTGCTGAGTAAGAGATTGTTATTACTTAAAATTGAGCAATGACAAAGCACTTCATCACCAAGATGAAAAACTTTGGGATCTGGCTGTGTTAAAATAATTTATCAAATGTATCCTTCACAAACAAAAGTAAACTTCTCTTGGCAAGATTCCTGAATTTTTGAAAAGATTCCACAGGCTAACCTTTACAGAGAATGGGTCAGAATATTTTAAAGAGTCGTGCAGCTATAAGTGAAGAACAGCTTATTGTTTATTTTCAACAATCTGCACAACCTAATTATAGACATTGTTTTTCTAATGTAATGAACTATGATAAGACTAATCTCAGCAAAAACCCTGGCTCCAAGAAAATGATTTACAGAAAGGCCACAAAACATCTAAATTCTATTATAAAGATTGAAATGCCTTTGCAATTTGTTAGAAATTTTTATATTTTTTTGTATTTGTATTTGTATTTTGAACTTTTTTTAAAAAATCTAGTTTTTGGATTTGAAACATACTTCCTTTCATTTCATAAGTAGTTATTATTTTATTGTTAAGTGGCATAAATACACTATATTTTGATTTTTTGAAAATGATTTATATAAATTGACTTTAGTTAAAGTTTTAAAGCCACATTGCTGATTTTCTTATATAATGTGCATCTTGTATCAATAAGTCTTAAATAAGGTTCACAGTTTTATAGCTCTTATCATTTTTTCTGTATTTTATTTGATAATCTAGTTCTGTGGTTTGCGACTTTCATAAATTCCTTAAACATGTATTGCAATGTTTTGTTGTTTAAGTTTTACTGTTAAATGGCCAAAATCACTCCATTTTTAGATTTTTCAAAAATTGTTTTCATTATAAGTTGTGGTTAAAGTAATATAGCTACATGGCTGATTTTCACATATAATGTGCATCTTGTAGGAGTAATTCTTGAATAAAATCTACTAGTTTATAACTCTTGTATTTAGCAAACTATTAAAAGAAAAAAAAACTATGGCATATTAGCATATTACCTCATCTGACAGATGAGGTAATATGCCAATATGCCATAGTTTTTTCTAGTATATATATATATATATATATATATATATATATATATATATATATATATATATATATATATATATATATATATATATATATATATATATATATATATATATATATGTATATATATATATATGTATATATATATATATATATATATATATATATATATATATATATATATATATATATATATATATATACAGAATCTATTCTAGGAAAAAAATTTGAGCTGCGGTTTAACTAAAAATCTGCATTTTTTTTTGCAAAAAAAAAACAAACAATATTTGCTATAAAAATGTAAAAAAACATTAAAAAATGTAAAACATTAAAATTCCTTAAATTATATTTTGGACAGTGCTTAAATCGGCACCCAAATATAAATATACACTTACTAAAGCTTATTTTTATAATCATTTGCTCACTTTTTTTGCTTATATATATTTATATATATATATTCACAGAAATATCAATAATTTATCTATCAAATATTTTTGCTATTGCTGTTTTCTAGTTTTGCCATTGTTGCTAATCTTTGTAATATTATTTATAATTTAAATTAAACACTTATTTTTGAGTATTAAAGTAGTAATTTCTAAATAGCACTTTATAGTTAAATTTTATATTATGTTAGGTTGTTACATTATAATTGTTTGTTGTTCTGTTTTTTATTAAATTCAATTTTTTTAATATATATATTTTAAATAGGGTAATCTTGCAGTTAAGCAACATAAATTAATCTAGCACCATTTGTAGAGAATTTAAAAGCGTTTTTAAATATTTATTATAAATATTATTAATGTAAATATTTTTTTAAATTATAATAATAATTATCATTTTAAATATATAAATTATTATTAACATTAATTATTATTGTAAATACTTTTTTATTAAAATGGTATTTACACACTCCTTTGTTTTATTTAATAAATAAGAAAAAATTAATTAAGGTCACTTAACTGCAGGATTACCTTAAATAGTAGTATTAATATAAAGATTTAAATGGAGAGGCGGAGAAGGAGTTTACTAGCCTCGAATAAGCCTACAACCACTAATATTTAAAGGTTTTGTTCTGATTGTTATTTTGCATTTTAAATATTTTGATTTAAAAAAGTGTTAAAACAAGTTTATATTTACATACTTCCAAATTATTTTTTTATATAGTTAATAATGACAGTAAAATCTGACAATAAAAATGGCTGCTGCTCTTTAAATCCAAAATGGTTCTGCACATTTGAAGGACTTTTTAAATTGCTAGAATTCGTAAGTATTATACATTTTTTATAATATTTTGCATTAATAAATATATTACGAATTTTTTTTTTTTTAATGTGTCAGGGCAAAGGTAAAAATTGTTCCTGTTTTTACATAGGAGGACAGTGTTTAACTAATTAAAATTAAGATTTTTAATGCATTTTCTAATGTAAAAATCAGGACAATGACAATCTTAATCTGGGCTCAAACTAAACCAGGATATAAAAATGGATCACTTGTTCTTTGAACAAGAAAAAATATTTTTTTTTCCTAATCATATTCGCTTTGGAAGAATGTCAGTCAGATTTAGTTGAACTACTGTAAAAGTTATTTATAATTTCCATATTACAGTTACCATAGTTGAAAGTGTATTGATAATGATTTTCAGTGTAAGGAACATGTCAAAAAGGATTTGTTATCCCTTCCCATATTTTTTCTGCTTGGGGAAGGAGTGAAACTGTTATAAAAATATACTATTTCACAAGTTATTTTTTTATTACTTATTTTAATAATAAGTAATAAAATAATAAAAATAGTCTTTTAAAGTTGTTTTTTAAGTATAACAAACTTCATAACATAAAAAAAAAATTTTATACATCTGATTTATTTGCATGAAAACATTTATGAAAATTAACTACAAAATAAGAATTAATCAGTAATGATGTTTTCTTCTTAAATCATTTATTTTGATAAAGGCCAGCACTTTTTTTCTGACAATCCAACTTCAGTAAGATAAGGGCTGTTGTTTCAATGAATTAATGACTTTTAACAAGATCCAGTATGCTTGTATTATCTTCACTTTTTGACAAAGTGTATTGAGAAAGATTTTTAAATTTTAATCTTTCTCCTTCAATTACAGAAGGTTGTCATTGGTGGACAACATTCTTCTTTGTTTCGAGTGACCTTATGGTTCCATTTAATTGTATTTTATCTGCATTAATGATCTTCTTGACCATTACAAATTTACACGTAAAATACTTTTATTTGCTGATGACACAACTTTTTAAAAAATAAATCTTGAAAAACTGGTTTTTGTTACTGAAAAATATAATTATGAGGAAAATAAGAAGTTTCGAATGACTATCTCATTAACCACCAAATGGTTAATCAAAAAATTTTAGAATTCCTTTCCTTTAATATCTGAGGTGGTCTGTTTTTAAGCAGTCGTGGACAGGAATGGCGTGCTATCGTACTCTATTCTCGACCACACATTTATTATTTTTTTGCAACAACTTAACCATGGCTAAAATTTTGAAAATGTTTAAAAAATGTGCTAAATTAAGTATAAGATAATAAAGATTGTATACAATAAAAAATATTTATTTAAATTATCGATAGGTATTATATTGTCAAAAAGTGTATTTTTTACGATGAATATAAATGTTTTTAAAAAACTTTGTACAGTTAATTTTATAAACAACAACAAAAACGATTTTTTCAAAATAAACTTTTTGATGAATCCATAAATTTATTAGTCGAAAACTAACATAGTTATTTTTTTTTTTGTTATGCTATGTAAACTTTCAAATAAAATTTGTTTACACCAAGCTAAATGCTTTCAAATAGAGTTTTGAAACGCCATTAAATAAATTATCATTTAATATTAAAAAAAGCTTATATTTAAAAGAGTTTTTTTATTTAAAAGAGTTCGCTTAATATTATAAAATTATTAGAAAAGATCCAAGTTTTATAGTTCGTCGTGTTGGTTTTAAACTTTATTAGGAAAATTTAAAAAAATCTTTTAATTTTTTTTAATGTATGATTAAATTTATTTATATTATTATTTTTTTTTTTGTTTAAATATATTTTTTTTGATTGATATATAAAAATACATAAATAAATAAAAAATAATCACATAACTATTTTTATTTAGACATTAAAAAAAAAATAAAAGATTTAGTTATTAGTTTGTTTTTTTTTCGAGCTATAGGTTTTATTTTTTTTTTAAATTTCCCTTTTGTAAAGATTTCTTTCTTTTTTATATAGTTTAGCCTAATTAAATTTTTTTTCCTTTAAAAAATTTTCTTTAACGCTTTTTAATTATATAATATGTGTGTGTGTCTATTAATGCCGTACTTGAAGTGTGGCTGTGGCGCAGTGGTTAGAGCGCTTGCTTTATAAGCAGGAGATCCAGGTTCCAGGCCTTGTTAAGAACCGTTTCCCTATTTCAGTTTTACATACGTATTCACGATTTCACATAAGCGTTTTGCAATTTACCTTACGCAAAAACTTTTTTCAATAAGTTTGTTTTAAACAGTCTTTTAAAACAGATTAAGTGGAAAACATTAAACTGTAATTAATTGTTGTAATAAAACGTTTGTGGAATATTTTTTTTTATTAGATAAAAAAACAGATAGATATCCTTTTTTCTATTTTCCATTTATAAAAAAAAATATTTTTAATTTATTTTATTAAATTTGAATTAATTTTATTATTAGTTATTGTTTTAGTAATTTATATGATTAAATTTAATAAAAATTCTTTAAAAAATTTCAAACGCTCCGATTTACAATTTTTTTTACTGATAAAATTTTCAAAATTTATGTTTAAGTAAAAAGAAAATTTAATTAATTTAATCAAGTAACTTTATAATGTTCGCATTACATATAACTTCATTTTAATTTCAGTTAAGTTTGAGGTAAGTTCCAGTTCCAAATACTGGTCTATGCGCTTTTATAGTTAATAAATGACGTCATTCAAAAAAAGTTCTTTCAAACCTGAGTTTAAATGTTGTTTGGGTTTTCTCTTTGCCGTTAAGTTTTATGGAGTAGAATTTTTTTTAATAAAACAAACCAAACTGTAAACCGATTAAAAATAACGCGATCAATAAATAAACTCTTTAAAAGCCCATTTTATATTTATTTTGTTTTAAAAGCAAAACTAATACTAATGCTATAGATATAAGATACATAAATTTTAAAATTATACTGATATTTGTTAAAAACAAGTTCTGCTTAAATCAAAAATACTATTTTTCATTTTAAATTTAGTAAGAAATACTTTAGGTTTCACGGCACATAAAAATAAAATATTTTAATGGAAATAAAAAAAAACAAAGCCCAAATGGTAATCTTCGTTTAATTACAATTTTTAATTTAATCAAAAGCCAGTTAACGCAAAGATTTTTTTAAAAGGGGGAAAACCCAATCTAACTGTGTAGAAGTACACTTAAATCCCTTTAAGAAAATCAACCATAAACAAGTGTCCGCTCATTTAAAAAAAAAAACAACCATAAAAAGAATGTTTAAAAAAAAAAAATTAAATTTAAAATTTAAAATGTAATTAAGTATAAAATTTTAAAACAAAGAAATTATTTTTTAATCAACATTTAAATTTAATTTATAACTTTTTTTTTAAAACAATATTTAATTTAAAGATATTTCAGACTTAAATAGACAATAAATTCTAATGTGTTCAGACAATAAATTCTAATGTGTTTTTGAATTGAATTTCAATGAGGTATTTTAAAATACGCAGCTGACGCAATTAAACTTTTAACGATGTAAATATCTTTATTTAATAAAGTAAAATTTATTCGGGTTGCGCTTTTCCGTTACGCATCAAAATCTCATAACAAGGCTAAAACATAAATCGAGCTTTATACATATTTAGCGCCACGGTAAGGAAAGGGGCGTGAACTTTCTGGTTAAATGCATTTCTGCGGTGCTCTGTGACAAGACCGTTAGGACTTCTTGGGGCACCTAAATAACAAATTAAAAAAAAAAAATTGCTGCCTAATAATTAAACCAAAAAAATCATTAAGAACTTTAAAAAAATTGAATTATGGGAATTCAATATCCAAAACTAGCAGTTGTAGAAGTAATTTTTAGTTAATTATTTAATATTATATAGTTCATTAATTTATAATGAAATCCTAAAAATGGTTGCCACGTAGTAATTAAATTATTATTTTTTAGTTTAAACCTAGAATTCTAAAATTACAACTCCTTTCAATAAATAGAGTTTATCTAATAGTTTCTTAGTCTTTTTTACATCAAATTCTAAAAAAAAAACCCTGATAACTCACATATAAGTTACAAAATTATAATATCGAAGTTAAAATAAAATACCTTAATACAAATAGTGAAAATAAAGTTGACTTTAAAGTTTTTTAAGTTCTACAAGATTGTTAAATTCTACAAAAATGTTATTAAAAAAAACCATTATTTAAGCTTGAATTACTAGCCAATCTGTAGAAATTCTTTCAAATATTTTAGCAATATTATTTCCTGTTAATTTAACAATATTTTTTTCCCTGTTAATCTGCAACATCAATCTCATATATACAATGGTTAAAATAATTTATTAGTAATAAAATTGAATTATTAAGTATTTTAAAGTACCTCATTGTAATTAAATTTAAAATGACATTAAAATTTTTTGTAAATTTTTTCTTTATGAAATATCTTTAAATTAAACAATATTATTAAACAAAAAAGTTATAAATAAAATTTAAATGTTTAAAAAAAAACATTTTCTTGTTTTAAAAATCTTATACTTATTAAAACTTTTTTTTTTCTTTCTTTAAAACATTCGTTTTATGGTTTTCAAAGTCACTGCTCAAAGATACTTCTGAACTATCTACAAAGAGATCTTTTTTCTAAATTTCTTGTTAAATCTTTCTTGTTCTTGTTCCATTTTATATCAATATGTAAAATATGTAAAAATATAGATGACTTTTGAATGTTTATATTCTCATTTTCAGAAAAAAAAAAAAAATTCACGCATACTTGTAGACAGAAAAAACAAATAATCGGAACTTTCGATCAAATTTTTTTGTTTCAACTTTAATTGTTTTTATGTTTTCCCACTTGATTTCTTGTGAGCAAAACTTGTTATGGGTGGCTATTGCAGATTGATAATGTTTCCTGTCTCTAAAAATCAATAAAATTCAATCAGACTCTCTTAACATCCCTGCTGTATCGTTGCCATGGATACCATCACTATCCCCAAAACTAAGGAAAATATTTCGAAAAGTTGGCTATAGAGTAGTCTTCAAATCAAATCTAGATTTCTTCTTTTTCTAGTAGGATTAGTTGAATGGTTAATAAATAGTTGAATAAATGTAATCAAAAGTTTAAAAGAAAAAATTTATGAGTGATATGAGAACAATAACTTAAACATCTTTTAGCAAGTGTTTTATTATTTACTTGTTTTGAGTATTTATTAAACTCCTTGCAAAAAAAAAAAAAAAAATATTAGTTGTTTTTTAATTGTAATTTTTTCCACAGGTTGAGTGTTTATTAAACTCCTTGCAAAAAAAAAAAAATTAGTTGTTTTTTAATTGTAATTTTTTTCACAGGTTTTTTAATGATTTAATTTACGCATGAGCTTGGATTTTTTCCTTTTTTATTTATTTTTTTAAATTAGCAATCACGAAGTTAAATTTTTTTTGCAAAAAACAAAACAAATATGGCATTAAAAATAAAGAAATTCTAATATCTCAAATAATTTGAACTGCTAGTGTGAAAAAAGTTAAGGCTTTTAGGTTAGGGGAATAATCAATTTTTAAACCCAGACTCCTTAGGTATAATGACGACAAGGACTCCATGACTCCGAGCCTGAAAATAATAAGTTCCAAATCATTAAATCTCATTAGTTTTCCAACAAAGTCAACCAACATGTCTGGAGATATAAAGCTAGAATACTTTTGGGACTCTGCATCCCTGCTTTGCTTAGGGATCCCATCAAAGAAGTAGTTAAAATTTTAAAAGAAGTAATGAAAATTTTCTTTTTCTTTTAATTTTTTGTATTCATTGTTCTTTTTTTTATTAAAATACAGGTTGTTTAACTTAGATACACAGTTTCATAGTTTAATTTTTTTTAAGAAAACTATTTTATTAAAAAAAGATCTGTAAACAATATTGATAAAATTTATTGATATGAAAATAGTTACCTAGTTTGGAGTGATTTCACTCAGTTTTTTATCACTGGCATATTGGCTGATAGTGAAATTAAATATTGGTAGGGAAAATACTGTTTCCTTAAGTAATAAAAATGCAAATAAAAACAAAAGTGTTTATTTTAAACACTGTATAAAAAACATTGAAATGGTTAAACAAAGTAATATTATTAAGATATTTTATATATTTGTGTTTCAGTTTGCAGTGTTGTTGTCATGGGTGATATGTAGAAGTATCTCTAATGAAGTAAAAGATTTACATGTCACTTCAAGATTTGTCTATTTTCTTTTGGTTGGTATTATTTGCTGGATCTTTATTGGTGTGATTATTATCCTATATTTTAGTGGTTGTTTTGAATATCATGTTAATAAAAAGATAGAAAGATTGTATGGATGGGTAAGTTTCTTTTTTACTACTAAATTTTCAAATTAAGTTATAAATAATATGTTTTGAACAAATTTATGCAATAAGATAAAAAGAATTGTTTATTTAAAATTAAGCGTGTTAGGTATACTTTACTAAGTTGTTCATCTGTCCTTAAGACAGATGGTATACCGTTTCAGCATATGGTCAGCATATAGTTTGCTGCTCAAACATTGTACATTTATTTGATGCCTTGGCATCAAATAAATGTACAAATTATTGATTATTCTCAAACTATTTGATTATTCTTAAACTTCAAACTCTTTGATTATTCTTAAACTTACCTTGGTAAAGTTAGTTAAATCTTGTATTAGCTTTTTATTTTATGTTTTTTCAATCTAATTTATCCAAACTATTAAATTATCATGTGCAGACTAGTTCAATATTTTATAAGTTTACAGTGGTATTTCATGAATGACAGTGAGACCATTTTAATATATTATCTAAAGTTTCAAGTTATTTTTACTTTTGATTATTAATTACCACAAATCACTTTAAGTACTTTTTTTGAGAAAAATTAGGATAAAGAAAAAATAAACTTGCAGTCCTATGTTTAAACTTAAAAAAAAAATAAAAAACTGTTAGACAGGCTTAATAGGTTTAAACCAAATGGTTTAAACCAATGATTTAAACCAATTGAAAAATATCAATTTAAACCAAACAAATTTTTTGTTGAAAATATTAAAAACGATTGAAGTTGCTCGATAAGTTGCAAAGAGATCAGACAAAAATAACTGTTAAAATTTTTATTGAGCTGATAAACACGTTATCATTTTTATTTGATGAAAAAAAGTATATTGGAAATTAGATATTTTCAGACTGTCAGTGATGCTCATTTCCTTACAAACACGCTAGATCCTAGATATTTTGGATCTAATCTTTCTGAAAATGAATTGAAGCTGCAATGACCTTTAGAGATTAAATTTTTTACGAACTTGTTACCAGTAATATTCAAGTTGAAAGCCAAATCTGCTCCATATGATAAAACCTATTTGTATAGTGAATCTGTTTTAAAAAATGTATCACCAATAGAATGGTGTTCACTCTTCACCAATAGAATGGTAGAAATCTCTAAAATCATTGGACTGCAACACACAGTGCGTCAGAGTGGCAAATTTTGAGACAAAACTAATAACTAATTTATTATTAGTGCTATATTCATCAAATTTGGCACGAGTACTAATATGAGGTCTGGGCTTTTTTTGAAGGTATTTTTTTTTATTATTTGGTTGCTATGGATACCTTATTTTGCATAGCAGTGAGTTATTTTTAAGAATTGCAGGTTTTTTATTTATGCTATTTTCACTATACTTGTTATGTGTATTTATATGAAGTCAATGATACTTATGAAAGTAGTATTTTTTTTTTTATTTGGTTGCTATGAATACCTAATTTTGCACAGCAACAACCTTTTTATGCTAGTTGTAGTGTTTATTTGTACTGTGTACAGTATATTTTGTACTTATATTTCTTATTGTTTCTATATTTCTTATTTTTTTATCAATTGCCACACTTGAAAAAATGGTTTTGTCCACTACCTGGGCCGTTGTGCATGTATCCCTCTCTTACATTACCAGACTTGGTTGGGAAGCGGGAGCGATCGCTCTCGAATACTGACCATGGAAATAATATTTAGTTGCAAAAAACTGGCCAGGTTTTTTAGTAGTTTTGAGAACATATAAGTTAATGTACGTAACAAAAAATTTTTGTTTTACGGACATGCATGGAAACATAGTAAACTTGAATGTTCACAAAACATCTTGGTACGGAAGAATAAAAAGAATATTTGCGAACACTAAAAACCCGTCAAGTTAATGAACAAACTAATTCTATTGATTATTTAAATCATCTTAATCTTTTAAAGCCATTTTTATGATTTAATTTGTAAACAAAGACTTACAAAAATAATTGCGTTTTTAATGAAGTTATTAATAATCATTAAAGTTAATAAAACTAAATATGTAACAAACATATAAGAAGTTTCTGGTTAGTAAACACAAGCAATGCATACAAAGTAACTTGCGGATGAACAAGCACTGCACCTGAGGTCACGACAAAACACAAATATATATATAGTAAGTTATTAGATATAAAGAAAAGTTTCTAGATATTGGTTTACTAACTCTAATTATATTCGCTTCAGTTGCCATTCTTAAAAACTCGTTATACTTTTTTTCTGCTTTAAATACTAATAAAAATGAAAAAGCCCACTAACTTAACATCAGCGATATTGCGAAGTAGTTTTGCTTCCTCGTCATAAAGTATTTTTAACCTTTTTAGTTGATTTCTATCTAGTTAATTTAATTTCTATAGTAATTCAATGATCTAATTATTTCATTTGTTTATCTTACTTAGAAGAATTGCTTCAAATATATTAAACTTTTCAAACTACGCAAATCATAAAATAGGTATTAACTTTTTTATTTATAAAATAATTTAGCTTAGATAACTTGCATTAGATTTATTAGAATCTTGATAGACTTTTCGGGACTAGAGACTATTTTTAATGGATGCCTTTGTATGTGCCACAGCGTAAAAATGATTTAACAAAAAGGTCTTCTTGACTTTTTTGGGGCCCTAACAATTTGGGGTCCGAGGCTATAGCCACTTCTAAACCCAACCCTCCTTAATATAAATAAAAAATTATATTACACTCTTTGTTAAATAAAGAACATTTGTTTCCTTTTTAAACAACCATAAGATGTTACTTTTTATAAAAAACGTTGCCTAATTATATAAAAAAGTTATGAAAGAGTGATGTTTTGAAAATATTTGTTCTAAACGTAATTTATTTTGCTTTAAGTTTTTTTGCGTTAAAAGATATTTTACTTTCCTAATTTTTTTAATTATTTTTTTGTAATTGTCTCTCATTGGTCCAATTAATCTTAAGCGCATTTTTTTTTTTGCTTTTTGAAATATTCTCAAAACAACTAAAAAATCTGGCCAGCTTTTTGCAACTAAATATTATTTCCGTCAGCAATCGAGAGCGGTTGCTCTTGGTTCCTGGCAAAGTCTGCATTACCCAAGTTTTCAAAAAACCTAGCTAAAGATCAAAATATAAAAACTATTATTTTTATCTTGTTATTTTTTAATAACGTAGTCCTATTACATTTTATTCTTTCAAAAAAACCAGTTCAAAAATTTTAAATTTACCTATACCGTCGCAGTTAAACATCTGCTGTTGAAAACATTTTTTTGTGATTTTACAAACAATGAAAATATTTGACCAAATTATTAATTCGAAAGTTTTTCAAAAAAATATTTATCATTGCTGATAAGTTTATAAAAATTAGGCAATGCTTTTAAGGTAATTATATTGTATTTTAGTATAGTAAATCTTATATACATTCATGTACAAAATATTTATGAAATGTTTAGTCTAGTTTTTATTTTAGAAAATGAAAAAATGTGAATTACACCATTATACAAGAGAAAAACAATTTGAGCATTTTATCTAAAGATATCAATAATACTTTAAATACATATATTGGTGGTAATAGTTTAAAATTAGATCAATTTATTGTGTTGTATAAAAGAAAATGGAATAGATGCAATAGAAATAAGTTTTTTTGAAAAGAAATTCAGCTCCTGGTTAGATCAAGACTTACATGCAAAAAACTAAAAAGTTAAAAAAAGGCAGAAGATCAAAAATTAATTTCAATAAGGCATCAACTAAAACAAAACAAAGAAGAATAAGCATTTTGGTGAAAGAAAGTACACCAGAAGAATTATTATTTGTTGCATGTAAAAAATGTAAAAAAAAATAAATAGGAAATTTACTAGGTGCAAAAATATTTTCAGCTGATAAAGCGCTTTTAGTTAATTTTAGTTTGTGGGTTAAGTAAAAATGCATATCAACTTGAGGTATAAGATCTGCAGCAGCAATTAAAGGTCACAATAACTTGTATCCAGCATATAATAATGTCAAAGAATCTAAAAAACAATGCTACCCAGATATGGAAACTTGGGATCTTAACAGTTATTCAGCATCAGTTAATATGCAGAGTCTCTTAAATCATACTGCATTAAGATTGCTCTCTTTACAAAGTAATGCTCTTTCACAAAGTTGTGTATCAAGATTAACTTTAAGGTCAAAAGTTGGTTTTGATAGTCATTTCTTTAGGGAATCTGAAAAAGTATCTAACATAATTAGTTTACCAAAACCTCTTCTTGACAACTTCTTTGTGATCCTATGTACATTATCCTGTGGTCTAGATGTTGATGCTGATAAATTCCAAGAGTATTGTTTACAAGTTGCTCACATGTATGTAAATTTATTTCCATGGTATTACATGCCAGCAAGTATTCATAAAATTCTTTTTCATGGTCATTCAGTTATTAAAAGAAGCTCAAGAACCAACAAACAAACTTTTTTTATAAGTCATGAACATTTTAGTCGTTAAATGTTCAGAGTGAAGAATAATGAAGACTTACTAAAATGACTACTATGTTCATCTGATCCATATATTAGCAGTTTGAGAAAACCAGTATCAAATTCTAATAAAATTCAACTTCCACATGAAGCAATTCAACTATTAAATTTGTCAAGCTTTAAACATGATATCTAAGTTACATTCTTTATTAGAACAATTTTGTTATTTTAATTTGAATTACTGTTGGTATTACTTTAATTACAGTGCAGTGTTTTATAAATAATTTACAGTTACAATGTTTTATCTTTGCTATAAATGTAATATAATGTTTATCACTATGGCGTAGAAACAGGGGGCAAAGGAGACAATCGCCCCCCCCCAACCAACCCAAAACTCCCATTTTTCATTCTAATTCTAATTCTGGCTGGTTTAACCCCCTTATTCTTTTTCAGCCCACCTAACTTTCTTGACCTTTCCAAGCCACTGGTTTACGATACTTTAATTTATAGATGAAGTTTGTTGTAATATATTAAATTCCCAGTTATATTTAACATTCGTGCAAATACGGAATATTTTATGAATTTTGTATAAAACTGAATA